TTTTTTAAGGATGGGATGAACAAACTTATTATACATGAGATAAATGCTTGAACAAGCTGGATGGTTTTGTTGAAAAATATCTTATCACTTGCAGATAATCCTATTGTTTTCATTTCTGCAACAACGTATTTGTCTGCGTTAATGGCTTCATGAAGTTTCTTTTTGATCATCCCACATATATTTTTGTTTTGAAAAGATTATCTATTGCAAGGATACAAATTAATAAAAAATAAAATAACTTTTTAGTTTTATTTTTTGTACTTAAATTTTTTTTTTTAATGCAGCAACATTAAAAATTTAATAATAATTTTTTTTACAAACATACAAATTATATTTATAAAATCCACTTTTTATAAAAATGACTAGATAGTAAATACAATATCAACCCAAAAACAATGCTTGAAAGATTACAGGAGTCAAAGGTATATATGGATAAAAAATTTCTTGAGACATTTGTCTCAGCTCTCCAGATTCCCAGCTATAGTCTGCTCTACAAGCAGGAGTGACTTTGCCTGCTTCATCCCTCATACATGGATGAGATAGCACTCCATGTTTTCAAAATCTACACGTAACAGTAGTATAAGGACCCTCCCCAATCTAGAACATATCACAGGTAAACAGAATAAAGAAATGAAGAACAATAATATACTATAAGAATTTGAAACGTAATAAAACATAATAGAGAAGGAATAAATTTAAATCAGTTTAACAGTACAGCATATTAAACAGAAACTTTAGATATCTTCAATAATCAGCAAAAATTGTAAAATAGCAGCAACCAAGAAAGCATAAGGAAATTAACAAGTTTTAAAGCATTGCAAATAAATGTTGTAAGACAAAAATGAGATTACAGAATGAAATTTCCATAGTAAGAGGATCAAAGTTATTGATTGTTTCATCTTTAAAAACCAGATCTAAGAATTGACCTTTGAATAGACTCTTTTCTTCTTTTGTTCAAGGAAAGAGATTTTATATATCTATGGCTTGTAAGAATAAGGGCTAATTATTATTATGACCCTTATTCTTCCAAACCACAGATATATTAATATTTGTATGCACACATAGACACACACTTATACAAAATACTTCAGACATTAATTTTACATAGAAATATGGGTAGTGATAAGTTTTGTTCTGACCTATTTGATATTATTGTGTTCTACTACATTTTTTTATTCAGTATAAAATAAAATATATTGATTTCAAGAATATATAAAAGATATTCATTTTTCACTGACACTTGAGAAAAATTACTTATATGTATTATATATATACAAACTTTTTCAAAGTTATTATCAACAAAAATAGAATTTATAAAATTACATAAATTTAAGAATGATAAAACAATATTAAACATCTATCTAGAAAACTTTGTAATCCAACTAACAATGAAAATTTTGCAACAGTATTATAAACCTCCACACAATTTCCAAAGAAATTTGTGGAGTGATGTTCCATGCAACAGTTATTGCCAAAAGCAACAGTCACTTTCTTTTTTTCAATTAGAGAATGAAAACTTGCATATTAAGATTTTTCATTCAATTAACATTTAAAATTATCTTTATCAGATATGTCTGGTCTGAAGTCATTTTTGAATCAAACATCAAATGACAAAACTGTATAGACTGCTGAAAATTTTTGCACAACAGAAGTCAGCTGTCAAAAAAGATTTTTCATGTTTGCAGCATGTATTTTTTAGAAGAATAATGGGACTATTTTTATATATATAACTAATACAGATATTGCCTTAAGATAGCATTAACGTCCATAAAATTTGTTTTTAAATGAAGAGAGTTACTATCAGAAACATATTATCATCACATTACTATAGTGACACAAGAAAGTTTTTCCATAAGGAGACTTTTAATTAAAATATTAAAAATTATTATTTTAATAAGAATAAAACAGACTATATAAATACAATAATTTTATATCATGCAACTATCATGCATTTGCATAATATATCTAAAATAGAATGAAATTAATTAAATAATAAATTCAAATGGATTATTTAAGACTCAATAAATCCAAAATTTTTAAACATATAAAATATGATATAATTCTGTATGAATTAGAATATCCATACAATAGCAAACACAAAACACAAATTCATCCAAGAGTTTAAGCAGTTTCTAAAAGTATATATAAAAAGATAATACATTAAAAAATAATGATATAAAAAATTCATATTGTAAAACACACTAATAAAAATAATTTTCACCATGCAAAAATGCAATATACATTGAAATAATGAATGTTTTAGAATAAATATATGTTTATACAATAAAATCCTGAATATTCAACATTTTCTTCCATATTACAGTAAATAAAACTTAAGAATTTTTTCACTGTTGTATATTTTTAACAGCATTTCTTCATTATATATATTATTTATTTATTTTTTAAATACAATTAAAATTATACATAAAACAATAACAGAATATGGACATTAAAATTTTTTATTCAGAACTATATAATTCATATATAATTGGAAAAATATAATCTTTACAAATGTAATTTTATAGTTAAAATTAAGTACTTAGAGCATTAGGAGTAAATAGTCTTATTTTCTGAAGTAATCTTAACATCAAAACTATCAATTTCAAAAAGCTTAAACATTAAATACAATAAAAAAATTCTAAAATATAGATCTAGGTTTTATATAATTTATCAAAATTTGAAGAACTGGTATACTTAATACTGAGTCAGGTGATTAAATCTAAGTTATCTGTATCACAAAAGATACTAAAAGCAATATACTACTTTTAATTTGACTTCACATAATTATCAATATATTGTATATGATGGTGACCAAGTCAATCTTGACTATAAGTTTACTTCAGGATTTTCAACACAAAATTCTTGTCAGATCAATAACTGCTGTAAAGTACTGTACATACAGTATGGTTAAGAAACCATACTGTAGGTATCAATAGGCTAAAACTGAAATGTAAAAGGAAGTATATGACAGCTTATATAACCAAAGCATATAATAAATCACATCACTTTCATCAAGACTAATTAAATATTATTATATAGCTCATATAAAAAGAGGTAAGGAGAATAGATCCACATAGGACACTAAGCATGCTTCACGAAGTTATCTTGGCAATAACTCTATTGTATATCAAGTCTATTGATAAACATGTGTAAACCAAAGTAAACACCTCCAATAACATATTAATAGTTTACACAGCATAGTACTATGATTCTATCACTAAATACAATACAACAGAACATTATTGTATACCTTTGTTTACACTCTGCATTTGCATCAATGATAGTGAAAACTCAATTATCCAAAACAGTTTTAAAAAATGTATGTATGTGTAGTGTTGTACATACCACAGAGTGAACTACAGAGAGATTAAACTCCCCAAGAAACTGGAAATCACTGTGTCAGCTATCAATTGCAGTGTAACAAAACCAGGTAATATACATAACATGAAGTTAGATTTTGAACAAATTATTTTCTTTCAAATACAGTAATTGCAAATAGTAATTTTTTGTTCATAAAACTTGATATGTGTAGTGCTTGACATTGTACCTAAAACAAAAAAAAAACAAGCTTCTAGAATATCTGAAATTTTGTCTGAAGATGCCTAGTTCTGTCAATTTCAAATAACTGCACCTTTACTGTATATACTTGGCACATCGGCTGTTCAAAACTGCATATAATGTATTAATTTATACTAAATTATTATTTTTTTATGTTAATCTCTATGTTAAATGAGTTCACTATTATTCTAGCAGGCTGTCATAAATTTTTCCAACTAAATAAAAACTCAATTTAGTTAGAAAACCTTTTGGGACCTGCTAGAATAATGGTAAATGGTGCACAGTGACTAAATGTAGTAAAGATTTGCATTTTACTCATTGTAAAAAAGACCTAATTATGGAAAGATTTTTTCATGCTTAAAAACTTAATTTATGTGGCATATGTGATAATTGAACTCCTCATACCATACTGTAAAAGCCCAATTTCACTTGTAAAATACTATATTTAAATTATGTCATAGTTATCAATTAAAATCAACAGTTGAAATACTTCCAAAAATTTTTAATCATATAGAATTAGCAATAAATTTATAAAAACCTCTTCATATCCAATTGGAAACATTATATGAAATTATTATTAAAAATTTTGAATAAGACATCAAATTAATATCAATACAATTTATTATATCAAAGATGTAGATGACAACTACACAATGATAATAGTAATATTTAAAAACTAGCAGGTGGGCCCGGCGTTGCTCGGGCAAAAGTAATGATAACTAAGATAAAGATTATTACGTTACAGTCAACCTTACCCGTTTTCACAGAATGCAAGAATTGGGTTCCCTTGTTTCCAGACTAATTAGAGAATTTTTAGATGGGTCTNAAATCCCTTCTTAGTGTGCATTTTCGTGACGTACCCTACATGTGTAGCAAATTTCAACTTTCAACTCCTAACCGTTTGGGCTCTGCGCTTATTATTATTATTATTATTATCATCAACCCGTCTTGATTATATATTAGATAATAATATTCTTATCAAACTAATATTTATAAATTCATACTGTACACTCAGCTCTTTAACTGAAGTCTTTTATAAAATTACTTTCTTGTAATATCATCACATATGTAATAATCCATTAATATCCATATTCTATTAATATTCTATGTTTAATTAATTTTTTTTAACAAGTTCAAATTTATAAGGAAAAAAAATAACAGGATTTTAATGTATACTGATTTTGAATTAAACAAACTAAAATATTGTAAAATATTTTACTTTTTATATATAATAAAAATTATGATAGTCAGCATATTATGGCAATAATTTTAAACAATATTTACAAAATGTTTACATATTTAATAATTATGTTTTTTTATATCAATTACAAATTAAAAAGTAAAAGAACTTATTTATATTATATTTATATACAAATTTAATTTCTAAATATTTTCCCATGGAGTATTAGTTTTTTTTTTTCATGAATACAAAATAAAGCTACCTGTTGGCTAAACATTTGACAGTAGGCACCACATTCATTAATTCGAAGAAATTGTGCTACATCCAAAACATCCCATTGCTCAGGATTAACTTCAGAGTGAGTTGAACTTAAAGCAGGTCCACAAACTGATGTCTTTATATCACTCATTTTCATAATGAAAGGAAATCTATAGTTATGTAAGTACTATATGTTTAAATATATACAGAAAAACAATCTAATTCTTTAGGTCAAATAACTTTATAAATAGAATTTACAATTTTACCTTTTTTTATAACATTAAAAATAATTTAAAAAATTATATAAAATCAATAAAATATAATAAATAAATCTTAAATTATTCTTCAGATAAAAAAATAAAATTAGACATTATATATATTAAGATTTTAAAACACAATATTTTATAAATGAAATTAAAGTAACAACAATTTTGATAATTATATAATTAAGTTAAAATAATCATTTTAAATTATATAAAATGAATAAAAACATTTTAATATTAAAAACTGATCTCCAGTCATCTTACATAAAAATATAAATAAAGAAAAAAGAAGTGCATTAGGTTAAAAACATTAATTTTAACTTAAAAAATAATATGGAATCATTTGGAATTACCACTCAAATTATTTAAACCAGACACAAAATTTTATAAAAACAACCATCATACTTTAAGTCTAAAGTGCAAAAATGATTGCAATATTTGTAAGAATTAAATTATTTATTTTTATTTGTAGTATAACATTTCTACAGCATATGTTGTATTTGTAAATTTCTATATATTTATAATACCAAAAATAGTTAATATTATAAGTGTAAATTTTTTGTTCTATATAAATATTTGAAATTAAAAGTGATAGCTTTCAATATATGTAATTTGATCTCCTTTTAAATTACAATAATTTAACAAGAACGACTTAATAGCTACAAATATTTTTGAAAATTTGTAGCTATTTTACAATAATATTAATATCATATGTATTTTTTTTTATACAAGGTGATTCGTTTGTGACTGAACACTTATTATGTGAAATATCTCCATATGAGCACGAAACACAACAGTGATTTTTTTTATTTTATAGTGAAGTGGTTGACCAAGGTATGTTCTACATTACATGTTATTCAAAAGCGACTGTGCAGTCATAAGATACTGAACACGGTTAGTGTTCAGAACTAATGAGTGAATGCATCACTGTTTCACTAATTAAGTTAAAAAAGGAAATTAAGGTATTCTTACTGTATTTCTGAACAAATATGAGCATGCTCTTATATGTACTAGCTTGTTTTAGCTTATAAGAGCACTGTATTGCTGTGCTAATGTAATTTAAATTAAATATAAATTTTATCCCATACTCTTATATGCATGGAAATATGGTAAAAAATAAAAAAAAAACATATAAATTGGCAAAACTTTCTAGTAAAAATTTTGAACATGCACTTTACTATCTAATAAAATATAATTCATTCTACCTACAAAAACTTGAAATCCAATTAAATAAATAAGTTAACTTTTTTAACTCTTTTTTTTAACTAAACAATTCTGTTAATAGCTTATTTAAAAAATTTGACACAATTAAAATTTTGAATATAGAAAATAGTTATAAAACATTCCAAAATTGTTAATAATTGTTAAGTCCGATTATCTGAGTCTAAGTTAAAATTCTACAAATAATTTTTTTTTTTAAATTTCTAATATAACAATTTCCAAAATTGAAATAATACTTTAGTGCAGTTTATCAATAATATATTAAGTTGATTCTGGCTGCATATTGGGAGTATTATTCTAAAGTCATTGACTTAAAAAAAATATTGTTAAATTAATCTATCATCTGTTTAACAATTTATGTAATTTAATTTAAATCTGCAAGATTTACAGACATGATCAACAATTAGCCATTGACAGAATTGTTTTTTTTTTTCTTTTTTTCTAGATTCTCAATGATGCAATTCATCTTCTTGATCAATTAATTCTGTCTTCTTTTTGAACCATTTGGTATCTTGAATTGAAGTTCTGAAATTTTTCAATTAACTTTAAATAAAAGAAAAATTTATTAAAATATCCCAATTCCAGTATTTAACCATGAACTAAACAATTACAAATTCTACAAACAAGAGAGCAATTACAGATGGAGTAACTGTACAAGTCTTCATGTTATAGCTTTTTAAATTCATCATTACACAATAAATATTAAATATTTTTAAAAATAATATTAAGTATGTACACATAAATACATATATAATTTTCAACAAGTTTTCAACAATATTATAAATAGAGCAATTAAAAATAATTTTAAATACATAATCTACTAAGATCATTCCAATTAAAAAGCTTTAGTATAATTCTCTACATAAATTATTTTAAAAATTAAAATTTTGATCAATTATGCAGGTTATAATATGGGTGATGATTTAACCACATAATTTACAAATTGTTATTTGTAATTTATACATTAATGCCAAAGAATTCATTACCTTTCCAAAAATAGCATGCAATATAGTTTGTTTCAAGATAACAAGAGATCTGAAACTATGAAACTATTTTTAATGTATAATATAATTTTGTCATAACAGTCATGCACTGGTAATTCATATGAGTAAAAATATTAAAACATTAAGTATTTTAAAATGTACAAAGTATCAAAAATTATCTAAAGAAAAACTTTCTACAAAATAATCACTTTTAATTGTGCTGAGTATTTATTTTTTAATCTCATTTGATAATTTCAAATTGAATTTTCATTATTTTCTAGTTATACCAAATCAAAACAAAGTCATAAATAAAATATTTAAGTTTTATAATAACTTTTATTAAAACAATCTTATAAACATTTCTGATATATACAATTGTTCAACATATTCATTACTGTGTACTTTTTGCTTTTGTCATTGTACTTATATAATATTTTTAATAATACATTGAATTTTCAATTGTCTATAAACCTGTTTACCAATATTTAAGTATATTTTTAAAAATTTTATATATACTGTATACATCATATATATATATATATATTTTCTATTTTCAACTTTTTTAAAAAACATTTGAATAAAATTTATGGCCTTGAATTTAAACACTCATTTCATTTATTATTCATAATTAATTGTTATATTAAAATTCACCAATTTTATCTAAATAAATAAATTTCCTTTATACTTGTAAAATCATCATTGTAATAATTTTAATTTACAAAAATTTCTAAAATAGAAAAAATTTTATGAAAATCAGAAATTTTACTACTAAAGACAAAAAATTTAATTTTTAAAAGATTTTAAAACGAGAAATTTTTCATCAGAAACTAATGAATACTATTCTAAATTTTTAAAATTATCCAAAACTTAATCATTTAAAACATACATAATATTATACCAATTAATTTTTATAATTTTTTAAGCTATTTCTTAACATAAGAATATATATACTAATTAAACAAATTATTTTCTTTAAGAGAAATATTATAATTAATTTAATAAGAAAAATAAAGCATTCAATAAATTTTTTATCTACTTGGAAAGATTTGTTTATAATGTTATGTAATTTAGATTTTATAAACTATTTAGGACAATGAATAGCAATAATAATATTTTGAGTAAAAAAAAATTACTCAAAAAAAAAATTGCAAGGAATTTTAGACATATTTTCAAAATATCAGTAATTTTATTCCTTTTGCTGATATCTTAGACATAAAATAATTTTGTAATTTATGATATAATAAATGTTTATTTATTCAGTGACTTTCTAGCATTACAACAATTTAAAGATGTGTAATGAATTGAAATAAATTTTTATGGAATATTTATTATTTTCACGTACTGATTAAATATGTATAAAAACAAAATATGATTAAATCATACATTGTACGAGAAAGTTAAATTCCAGGTAATTATAAATGTCCAACATTTGACAGATAAATATTTTCGATCTTCAGAAAATTATTAGTGTGTGTTATAGTATTGTAAATGTTATCGACACTTTCATACATTTATAGAAACAGTAATTATTAATTATTAAAAATCTGTTTTAAATGACTAAATAAAAAAACAAAATAGACAAGGTTTGTGTCCCGGGACGTCTTGTCTCGAAATCCCGGGACTTTTTCTAAATTTAATTGTCTCGGCTCCCAGGACATTCGGGTCAAGACTCGAGACACGCATATCGAAATTGTATTTTCGAAATTTTATTTTCAAAGGATTAGTCGAGCGACGCTTCCTTTGTTCTCCCTCCTGTTTACAAATAAATAACGGAGGTGGGGGAAATTTACAAGGCTGTGTGACTTTTAACCTTACTCTGTTAAATGTTTGTTAAAATATTTGCACACTGGCCACCACAGCTCAGTCGCAAAATACAGATTTTTTTACTTCGAATTTGAATAAAACTGCACTTATTGCTTTTGCGGAAGATCTGCATTACAGACTTTTTGAAAATAGCCCTCGTATCCAAACGCAAGATTTGGAAATAATGGACGCTGAACCCATTACCAGTAGCTCTACAGTACACAACGAACCCGATGAGTCGTTTCAAAGTCAAATGGAACAGGCAATCAAAAACATCGAAGAAAATGTATCCGAAATTTTTGCAAAAAGATCAAGAGCAGCATTAAAAAAAGGAGTTCCAGTTATTTGAAGAAACTGGAAAACGTACTGAAAGTTTGAAACTACTTTATAAAGCTTTAAACACAATAAAACTGACATCTGTTAAAAACGAGAGTGTGTTCTCCTTGTCCGGAGGCATTATTAGAAAAATCATAAACAGATTGTCTGACAAACTGTAAATGCTCTGATGTTTTTAAATGCCTATTTTATTAAATCAGAAAAGATGTCTAATTGCTAGTTCATTATATTATATGACTAATGAATAGAAACTAGGTGATGATTATTAATGATTAGTATGATTACTAAGTTGGTTTTATAATATCAAAATAAAAAATGGTTTTATAATTTTAAGATTTCACTGCCAAAAAATAAATCTATGATTATAAGAATTAAACATACGAACTGTTTAGACTTTATTAACGTTATAAATGTTAGGAATTGATTTTATGTTCAATAAATGTTGATTTTTACTAAAATTGCTTTTTTATTGATACATCTCGCCAAAAATGAACTCGATTCTAATTTTATTCTGAGAAGATTCGAAGTCCTGGGATTTTGATTGTGAGTTGTGTCGTGTCCCGG